CCAGTATAAACCAGTATAAACCAGTAAGACTCACTGGTATCCCACTGGGAAGAGCCGCCCGTCTCTCTCCGACAGCTCCGTCAGCGCCCCCAGGCGGTCGATGCGGATGGAGCCTGGGGAGGGGGAATGGAGACCCTCAGGGAGACCCCCAGGAATTCCCAAAAATTCCCAAAAAATTCCCAAAAATTCCCGAGTTCCCAAATTCCCGGAATTCTGGAAAAAATTCCCAAAAAAATTCCGAGAAATGCCCGGAAAAATTCCTGAAAAACGTCCCAGAGCTCTGTCAGTGCCCCCAGGATGGAGCGGATGGAGCCTGGGATGGGGGAATGGAGACCCTCAGGGAGACCCCCAGGAATTCCCAAAAATTCCCAAAAAATACTCATAAAATTCCCGAGTTCCCAAATTCCCGGAATTCCGGAAAAAATCCCGCCAAAAATTCCGAGAAATGCCCGGAAAAATTCCCGAAAAACTCCCCCGAGCTCCGTCAGCGCCCCCAGGATGGAGCGGATGGAGCCTGGGGAGGGGGAATGGAGACCCTCAGGGAGACCCCCTGGAATTCCCAAAAATTCCCCAAAAATTCTCATAAAATTCCCGAGTTCCCAAATTCCTGGAATTCCTGAAAAAATCCCAGAAGAATTCCCAAAAAACACCCGGAAAAATTCCTGAAAAATGTCCCAGAGCTCTGTCAGTGCCCCCAGGATGGAGCGGATGGAGCCTGGGGAGGGGGAATGGAGACCCTCAGGGAGACCCCCTGGAATTCCCAAAAATTCCCAAAAAATTCCCAAAATTTCCCCAATTCCCAAATTCCCCGAATTCCGGAAAAAAAAATCCCCGAAAAATTCGCAAAAATTAAAAAAAACCCTCCTCAAAATTCCTGGAATTCCCCAAAAAGGGAAAACTCCAAAGGGGGAAAAATGGGGAAAATTCCGTCCCTGAAACGGCCAAAAATTCCCCAAAAAATTCCCGAAATTCCTCCAAAAATTTTGGACACCCTCCCCCAAAAAACCCCCAAATTCCCCCAAAATTTGAGGATCCCACCCCAAAATCCACCCAAAGAATCCCAAAAAAGTGCCCAAAACACCCCGAAATTCCCAAATCCTCCCCAAAATTTGGGACCTCACCCCAAAAAAAGTGCCCAAATTTTCCCAAAATCCTCCAAAAATTCCCCCCAAATTTGGGAGCCCTCCCCAAATTCGGGGCTCCCTTCCCCCTCACCGATCATGACGTTGACGGCCTCGGGTTCCAGACCCCCCAAAAATTTCCTCTTGAGGCTGATCCCCCCGAAATCCACCAGCACCCGGCGCAGCACCGCGAAGCCCCCGTCCCGAACCAGCTCCTGGGGACCCCAAAACCCCCAAAAAACCTCAAAATCCATCCCGGAAACCCCCCAAAAAACCTCAAAAACTGCCCAAAAAACCCCAAAATTCCTCCCCCAAACCCCAAAATTTCTCCCAAAACCCCCAAAATCTCCCCAAAATCCTAAAAATTCCCACCCCAAAAAATCCAAACCCTGCAAAAAAATCCCCCCCAAATCCCCTCTAGGACCTCCCCAATTCCCCCAGCACCTCCCCAAATCCCTCTTTTAACTCAACATAAACCCCCAAAACCCCCCCAGACCCCCTTGGGGACCCCCAAAACCCCCTCAGGGACCCCCCAAACCCCCTGGGGATCCCCTAAACCGCCTTGGGGACCCCCCAAATCCCCCCAGGCACCTCCCCAAGTGCCCCAAATCCCTCTTTTAACTCAACATAAAACCCCAAACCCCCCCCAAAAAATCCTTCTAACCCCCTGGGGACCCCCCAAATTCCCCGAGGACCCCCCAAACCCCCCCAGGGAAGCCCCCAGACTCACGTCCCCGCCCAGCAGGCGCCCGTGGCGCTGGCAGAACACTCTCTTGTCCCTGAGGAAGGCGGCCTGGCAGCGCCGGGCGCACATGAAGTGATAATTGGCGGCGCAAGCGGCCAAACAGCAGCCGACGGTGGCCCCGGGGCGACCGCAGTGCTCGCAGCGCTGGGGGGGGGGAGAAGGGGGGGAAAGGAAAGGTGAGACCCCCCTCCCCATGCAAAAAAAATTCTCGGGGAACACCAGAAAAATTTTTGGGGGATGGCCCAGATTTGGTTGAATGTGGGAGTGTAAGGGTAGACCTGGTGTCCCCTCATACAAGTCAATGGGTAGACCTGGTGTCCCCCTAGTCAAGTCAATGGGTAGACCTGGTGTCCATCCAATTGGGGTCTATGGGTAGACCTGGTGTCTCTCCATTCAACTCTATGGATAGACCTGGTGCCTCTCTATACAACCCTATGGGTAGACCTGGTGCCTCTCTATAGAAGCCAATGGGTAGACCTGGTGCCTCTCAGTACAACTCTAGGGGTAGACCTGGTGTCTCTCCATTCAACTCTATGGATAGACCTGGTGCCTCTCTATACAACCCTATGGGTAGACCTGGTGCCTCTCTATAGAAGCCAATGGGTAGACCTGGTGCCTCTCAGTACAACTCTAGGGGTAGACCTGGTGTCTCTCCATTCAACTCTATGGGTAGACCTGCTGGCGCCCTATTAAAGTTAATGGGTAGACCTGCTGGCCTTCAATACAAGTCCATGGGTAGACCTGGTGTCTCTCAATACAACTCAATGGGTAGACCTGGTGCCTCTCAATACAACTCTAGGGGTAGACCTGCTGGCCCCCAATACAACTCAATGGGTAGACTTGTTGGCTCTATAGAAGTCAATGGGTAGACCTGATGTCTCCCTAGTCAAGTCTATGGGTAGACCTGGTGCCCCTCTATACAACTCAATGGGTAGACCTGGTGTCGCTTTACAACTCTATGGGTAGACCTGGTGCCCCTCTATACAACTCTAGGGGTAGACCTGGTGTCGCTTAATTCAAGTCAATGGGTAGACCTGGTGCCTCTCTATACTACTCTATGGGTAGACCTGGTGCCCCTCTATACAACTCTATGGGTAGACCTGGTGCCTCTCTATACAACTCTAGGGGTAGACCTGGTG